CACATACGCACACACAGAAACACACATACGCGCACACAGACACACACACACACATACACACACACAAACTCACACACACACATACAGAAACACACATACGTGCACACAGACACACACACTCACAGACACACTCACACACACACACACAGACACTGACACACACATACACACACACAGACACTCACACACACACACACTCTCACACAAACACACACTCCTTATTTATTCAGCAGGGCAAAGGTTAACGGAAAGTGAAAACATCATGTGATGTTTTACTGAAATGGATTCCAGCTCTGATCCTGTGTTTCTTGGAAGTGGTGATGGCCCTACTTTCCCTCCCTCGCGCCTCATTCTTAACGTTCCCTTTTCTGACTTACCCCTTCCCTGGAGGTTCTCTCGCTGCATTGATGTCGGAAAGTTTCTGTGCCAGAAACCTGGCAAGTGTGTACCTTGGACGGCTCTGTACCTTCACATTTATTCAAATCATTTCCTGTTGCATTACCAGCTTATTCCAAGCAGCAACCTCTCATTTTCACTTCAGATGTGAATGGATCATTTGTGATTGCGGTTTGTTAATGGGTGTGATTTTTTTTTGTTTGCGTGTTTGTGTGTCCCAGGGTGAAACTTAATAACTACCAGGATTCTGTGACAACAGGCTCAAATCACTGCAGTCAATTATATCTCTTTAAATGTTATTTCACATTTTCTCTTCTTTCCGTACGGAGTGCCAATTCTGCCTGCTCTGTGCTTTAATAAGCACTGGCCATCCTACTGAATCTAAGTGAGCATCACATTGGAATCTGATTGCAGCCTTCACTTTAAGCGGTTTGTCAAGCAACAGACAAGTCTGGGAATCATCCCTACAAGTGACATTTAACCCTTTCTATCAGTATCCCTCCTGGCCCAGGAATGCTCAGGGAGTACTTTTCTTTCCTTTGCCACTTCAACTGGGATTGTGAAACTCAATGCAGACCGCAGTGACTATTTGCATTTCTGTAGCGCTCCCTGCATACAGAGCAGAGACCCTGTGCCAAAT